TTTCCTGATTCTGGGAAATATGGATTCATCAACAGATTTGAAGAGAATGTCTTTGGCAATGTTGTCAAGATTGTTTCTCTTCCTGTCCTCAGTTGTCCATTCCATTTTGGGTTTTGGAATGTACACATCATCTGTCCCTTCTGTGGTTCTGGATGTGATGACCTTCATTATTTTGATAGGTCCATCAGTAATTACTTCAAGCATCTCATCATGTAAGGCACTGAGATGTGCTCTCATCCGTATTTTCCAGTCATCAAATTTGTTCAAGTTGAACAGAAGATTCTTGGCTAACTGACTGTCCATTTTTAGAAAGTGTTTGGGAGGTAGAGTGGTTTGGATCTTTAGTTCAAATTAGTCAGAAACTGACTCTAGGAACACTCTGCTCTGATACCACTTGATGGTCCCGGATAGGGTAAAAGTCTAGAGGGGGGGGGGGGGGGGGGGGGTGAATAGACTTTTAAATCTTTTTCAACTTTTTGAAGTTTTTCCCTCTAGATGAATTGATCTATAATCTTTTGAGAGATTAAAAGATGCACAACGGAAGTCTTTACCCTTTTATGTAATGAGTGTTTGACCACTTTCTAATTTTGGGAAGATTGGACTTAGATAGCTAGTAGTTGGCTTGACAGTTAGCTTAGCAGTTGGCTAGGTAGCAGGAAACTGCTGAGGTAACTGCTACAGAAATATTGACTTTATGATGAAAGTGATGGTGAAACTTTGTTTAGCACACAAGAAAGATGTCTGAAAAGGTACTTAAGTAAGGTTAAGGTGAAGTTTAACTGGAGCAGTGGTCTTGGCAGTTGGGTGGTACTAAGGGAACTGCTGAGCCATCTGCTTAGGTTATGAGCAGACTTTCAGAGATCCTTTTGAGCAAAACTTCGTGTTGATGATGTTATGAGGATCTGGTGATGTTGAGTTGTTTAAAGGAAATATATGTATGTGAGCAGGGAGCTCAGCAGTTAGGTGGTACTGAGGAGACTGCTGAGGCACCTGCTATATTTTGAAAGTGAATTTCCGGTAACTGATAGAACAACCTTTTTGATAATGCTTTGGCAAGTGAACTGTGTGAAGATAATCTCAAAGAGAGTGAGTAATTAAGCAGAAGGATAAGCAGTTGGGTCAATTAAGACAACTGCTTAAGATGCTGCTGGCAAACTACAATCTTTATACGAGAAGTGCTGGGTGTGTGTTTTGTTGAATGAAGTAAAATCAATCACACGATGTATCCTGGTTCAGAGGTGGTGTAATCCTCCTACGTCCAGTCCCATTCTCTTTCAAATGGATTTCCACTAAAGTATTCAGCTTTAATACACTTAGTGACAATCTGGCCTTTACAACACTTAGGCCTAGATTGAAGGTTTTTCACAAAGAGTATTACACCACTCAAAGTTACTCAGTCCTTAGACTTTTCTCGATTGATCCAGTGGGGATCAAAAGGTACTCTATCTATCTAACTACACTTTAGGATCCGAACAACTGTTCTCCTAAGTGTTTACAACCACTTGTGAAATGTTACAAGAAAGTTCTAACCTCCAACTATGAACTAAGCTCTAAAAATGTGAAAGTGTTGATCTAATCTAAGAGCTTAGTGAAGCATGAGGCTAAGCAGAGAGTAAAGTTGAGTTTGCACTTTCTCTTTTGCTAGATAGCTCGTATATGCTTTGATGGAAGTATTTCTCTACTTAGGATGCTCAAGCTTGTTTTTGAACTCATGCTTCTACCTATATTTATAGGCCTTCATGGTTGATTAATCTCATCCGTTGGTTGAGATGGATTAATCTTGTGCGTTGAGGGTCTGGCTGGGACGAATTGTACATTCGTCTTCTTGTGCAGGAGCTTTTAATCCTTTTGTTTTCTGTCTTGAATAATTGGGCCGCTGCATGGGTTTGTCTTCAGCCGCTGCAGCTTCACTCCAAAAGGACGTCCCATGCTGTAGGACCATGTACCTGTTTAAGTTTTTAATGCTGGTCAAGTTTTGTCTTCCAATCATACACCTTTGATGTATATGATTTTTCGAGCATCTTTAAAATGTGACATTTATTTAATCTTTGAGCCAAATGATATGTGCCGGTTGGATCTAAATATCCGTTTAAGGTAAACAAAAAGTACCTTATTGCATTTTTACTTTTTCCGGTACTATTTCATTAGTCTCAAAAATTGTACATTTATTTTGTCACATTTGAATAATTTGAGTGCTAATACTTGAATTTAATTTAGACACAATGTACGGGTGCAAAGTATAGTGGCATCATCAAAATCTTATCAAAATTGGGTACTAACAGAGATTGATAACCCCAACACAAGCAGTTTATTGGTTTAATCAATATAATTAATTCCCCTTGGCTTATTAACCATGAGAAGCATGCATTAACAACCCAAGTTTACTACCATTGAAAGAACCGAATTAATAACAAGCGTATTAACCGATTGATTCTAGTAATAATTAATATATGAACAAAACTAGTTGATCCTTTAAGTAATGTTCAAAATATTAATATGAAATATGAATAGGAATTAATTAATACTCAAGGAAGAATATTAAAGAAGATGAATCCTACTATAGTTAATATCAAGATGTTAACTAATTGTCATCTAAGTAACACTCCCCAATATTAACATAGAGGAAGAAATAGCTAATACTATAACTAATGTCAAGATGTTAACTAATTATAATCTTAGTAACACTCCCCAACATTGATATAGAAATAGTATTTAAAGGAAGAATTAATATTCAAGGAAGAAGATTAAAGGGAATAACTCACAACTTACAAATTCATTAAACTTCAAAGTAGCAAAACCAAGATGGAAGAGTTTAGCTCCTCATTTGGAGACTAAACATGATAGAAAATATAAAGAAAACACTAATCTAAACTGAGCTAAAGAGTATATGTGAATTGGTGATTTTATTGGGAAGGAAAGGGGTGTATTTATAGGCTTTTGGGAGCTGCAGGCTCTGATACCCGACCGGGTATATAGGATACCCGACCGGGTATCTCAGGAAATTGCCCAGAAAGTGATTTTTCTGGGCATACCCGACCGGGTAAGGGTATATACCCGATCGGGTATGTGACAAATCTTTATGAAAATTTGCTCCCACGATCATTTGTCTTCGGATTTGATTTGGACAGTCGAATCAAGCAATTACCCGATCGGGTATAGGCAATACCCGACCGGGTACATGAGTATTTTTTCCAAATCGAAATCTTTCTTGTCTCCTTGCACTTTCCTTGATCTTTTAAGGTCCAATCTTGATCCCTTATATGATCTTTGACCTGTTTAGCTCAGAAAAATCCTAATCTAACTAAATTACAAATAAAAATGAAAATAAAGTATTACACCAAAAGTGTGTAATTTCCACAACTAGAACTAATAAAAACTAGTTAAAAATACAAACATACAATCGGAAATTACATGAATATCAGACTCCACCCCACTAGAAGGGGTGGTATCATGCATACTAGCATCAGAATCATTCATAGTAGTACCAATAATTAAGGGAATGGCAACAACAGGAAAAGACTCCACTCAGACTAAACATCACGTTGTGCAGTATTATTATTAAAATCAGACTCAACATGTATATCATGCATTTCAGAGTCATGAAAGGACTCCACCCCACTAGAAGGGGTGGTATCATGCATACTAGCATCAGAATCATTCATAGTAGTACCAATAATTAAGGGAATGGCAACAGCAGGAAAAGACTCCACTCAGACTAAACACTCTAAAAAACTGGACTTTGATTTGTGGCAGGAGCACCCATACAGGGAAACTCAGACTCATGAAATATCACATCCCTACCCATCACTACCTTAAAACCCACCTGGTTTCTATCCCACGGACGATCACATCCCGTTTAAGGGCTCATCCCATTGAGGGCTTAATCTTGTTTATAGGCTGATCCCGTTAAGGGCTAATCCCGTTATGGGATGCTCCCGTTATGGGCTAATCCTGTTTATAGGTTGATCCCGTTAAGGGCTAATCCCGTTATGGGTTGATCCCGTTATGGGCTTAGTTCCGTAATTGGGCCATGGTCCGGATCAATGGTACTATCAGTAAGCATGGTTGACAAAAAATGTGACTTAGTAACTTTTAGTGACTATAACCATGATCGAATTATATAATGGTAGTAACTTTAGTCACATTTTTATCCATAATGTTTATTCAATAATAGTTTCGAAAAAAACTTTATTACTGGTATGTAACTTAAAAAGCAATATTAAGATAAATTATTTTGTTTGTATTTGAAATGTGGGTGATTTTGGAACTTAATATTTGTGTTACTAATTGTGATTTTTATTTTTGAGTAATTTTATTTGAAAACATGTTTTAAAACATATAAGAACATTGTAAAGATTTCCCGTTTGGGCTTTAACCAGTCGTACTCGAGGCTTTTTTGTATATACAAATTCAATATATTTTAAAATTTCTTGATAATTACAAAAATATAATTGTATTTTGGATTTAAACCAAACTATGTATGCATGTATAGTATACATATATAGAGTACAGTTCGAGTTAGAACGTCCTGACCGGAACCCCCGTGCGGACATTGCCGTCAGAGATTTTTCCTGGTGGAATTTTTTAATGAGAATTTTTTAACATGTCCTTCATCGAGTCTAGTGTGTGTATTCACACCAAATTTCAGCTCAAAATTCAATCGAAAAAAAAGTTAAATAAATTCTTGAAATATACCGTGCATTATATATACATACACACTTGCTTTAGTGATCTAACATACTAGTATTATACCCGTGCGATGCACGGGAAGTGTAATTCTCATGAAACCACCGTCATCAAACCACCGTCATACCGATTATTTTACAAAAAAAATATTTATTTACGATGTCATGAAAATTTATTTCATGTAAAATACTCTGCAGTAAACATTTTTTTAAAAATCTTTTTAGGCTTTGTTTGCAAACAATTAATTTAAGTGCTTTTGGTTTTTTCTTAAGAAAATAGCAATTATTTTACCAAACAATACCAACTTTTACTTTCTCAGTTTTCGTGTAGAAACTACTTTTTACTTTTTCTATTACACAAAAAGCACTTATTTTATCAAACATTACCAACTTTTACTACTAATCACTTTTTCCCAAAAAGTGCTTTTATTTAAGCACAATCACTTGCAAACAGAGCCTTAGTAATTGACATGTCTAGAGAACAAAATCCCACAACCCAAACTCAACCCAAAACCCAAGTATAAAATACTTTCCCGAGCCCTAATCTCATCTATGCTGAATTGGCATAGCCTTCTCAACCTTCTCATCCCCAATGATCGGCGAGCATCATCACATTCATTGTTTGTCTCTCAGCCTTTTCGCCCTTACAAATCACATGTAAGCACTTTCGTCCTCTCTGATCATCAGTTACGACACTCGCACAAATCATAGCCGTGGTTAATATATGTGGTACCAATTAGTAAATTACTTTGAAATTGATATTTTTGAAATAGAAGCTTTTTAAAAACAAAATAGAAACTACAAGTAGAAACTAAACATTGTTATGTTTATTAAAATAATCAAGAATACCATATGTTGATTATTAAAACAATTACATTCACAGTATTGGTCTAGAAAAAATACCGTAAAAAAACCGTTGTTTTGTTTAACTGTGAAAAAAATATAACATGTGTGATTAAAATATAACCTCTTTAAAATTTGATTAAAGATGTTTCTCATAGGACTAATTTTTTTATATGATATCATTTGATATGGTAAATATCTATTCTATGTGAATTTATAATTGACTAAGTCTGATAAGGTCCAATATACTCTGATCTGGTTTGATCAAATTCGAGATTGACACTAAAATCAGTCTACTATAATCCATAAAGAACTACGTAGTATTAGGCTATCTCATGAGACTTTTTTATATGGAGTATACTTTTCAGCTAGATTTATAATTATCCTCATTATAGCTCCCGCATTATTAATTTAAAATGCATATTATTTCAAACTGACTATTTTATTTTAATATAGCTAGAAGTATATAAAATCTTATATACGCTTTAAATTATAAAAAATGTTCTTGGTCCATTTTTTTACAATATTAAATTGTGATAGTAAATCAATATTCTCAAACCTTATTTTTATCCAACTCCAGGCGAAAATCTAAAATAGGCTCTTACACATTCGTAAAAAGGAAAAAGAAACGCTCATTTACCTCCATCCTTTTACCCCCAATTACTTTCCTTTTTCCATGTGCACAATATACCCCTTGTTTGCCCAACACACTTCTTCCACATTCACGAAGCAGACAAACCACCATTGTCTCTCGAAGGCACGTTTCAATCAATTGCATCCTTCACCAGTCAACTGCACCATTCTAATTAGTATCTCTATTCTGTCCTTTCCTTAATCTGACTAATTTCTAATAATCTTGATCTTTTACAAACACGACTTAATTTTTTTGTCGTACAGACAAAAAAAACTTAACTTACATAAACACGTGTAAAAGTTTTTTTCGTTCTTCAATACCCATAGTAGAAATAGAATTACAAAACTCGGCTCGAGGGGTAGCAAGGGTGGGGGCCGCTGGCCAAAAAAATAAAACCTTTTGGGCCCCTAAATCAGCCTAATTTAAAGTTTATTAAGTCCAATTGAACAAAAGCCCAAAATTAACAAAAGTGTAGTACTTTGACTTCAGGAAGCCAAGTAGACAAAATTGGATCTAACTCATCGACATATAGAGCCCGTTTGGACAACTCTGTTTTCGGCTTATCAGGCTTATCAGCCAGCTTTTTCACCAAACACGTAACTTTTACTTTCGCGCGCTGAATTGTGTAATAAGCCGAAAAAGTAAGGTTGGAGTTACTTTTCTGGCTGTATTGGCTGAAGTTACTGTAGAGGACCATTTTAGCTATTTTTACATATAATTTTTTCTTTAATTTATTAATAAAATATATTTTTAAAATATTTTTTTCTTAAATCAGCAGAATCAGCCAAAACAGCCGCTCCAGCCAGAATATCATAAATTTCAGCAGAATCAGCCAAAACAGCCGATTTTGGTGCTACCAAACGGGCTCATAGTATCTGTCTACTTGAACGGCCGAAGTGTCCAACGCCCGGCTAAGTTGCCGACTCACTTCACTGCGTCTCCCGCCGGCCAGCTCCAGGACGCAGCACGTTGTCTCCTTCTCGCCTCACGCCCGTCACCCGGTAGCCTGCACTCCGCCATTTACCGGCCCTTCGGCGGTTCGGCCAATCCGCCCTTCTCAATAGTCACCTTCCGACCTTCCGTAGTCCCGGTATTCCTCCATCATTCTCTTTATCTATATTGATTAGTTCCGGTATTTTCCCAATTGATCCCCTAATTTATGCCAAACTTCTATCCCTTTCATATTTAGACCTAGGTGGTGCATGTCTATTTCGGTTTCTCTATACGGCGGCTTGAGCACAGTTAAAGCTTCAGTCTTGAATTCAAAATAATCTACATGGGTAATCTCTAGAAGATATCATTATTTAAAATTTAATTAATATTCATGCATGGACAATCTCTTTTCAATCAAAGGTTCTAAATGGAGGGTTTACACTGCCACACGTCTATTACTCTGCTTACATATAATGAAAGGTACTAACTGTAGTAATTAACTACTATAGTATCTATAACAATATTAATCTAATTCATATGTAATATACGTTGTATGTAATATATATATATATATATATATATATATATATATATATATATATATATATATATATATATGTAATATGAAATCATGTTAAAGTGTTTTAATGCTTGATACTTCGTAGATTTTTTGTAAATCATAGATATATCTATTCTAAGACATTATTTTATAATTATACATGTTTTATGGAGCTGAGATTAAAAATGAGTTGTTATAGTTCTAAATTGAAGTGTATTCACAGAGTTCAATCTTTACTGTTTGAACTTGTAAACATGCCATTTTGTTACAATTTATAATCACCCATATATACATTTTTACACACCACAGTACCCATATATCTGTATAACACTAAATTGAACTATATGTCTCTTGAAATAATAGAATTCAATCTTCACGGTTTGAGCTTGTAACTTCAAATGTTGGTAAAGTTTTATAATCGGCAATAACATGTACAGTTTAAGCTGCATCGTATCAGCTTAAAACATAGATTCCACAAAAAGTAACCTGTCAACAATTTGTGATTCTGCATAAATCAATTTAGTGTTTTACCTTTATCGCTGATGATATGCACAACTCTTTTTCTCATGTATTGTTCACTCTCTGTAAGTGTCACCATTTGATCTTTCCCCCCTAGCAGATCTGCCAAACGATGGAGTTGCTTAAGATATGCAAAATAAGCTACTTTCAATGAGTAGAAGGTATAAATCCCTCGACTATCTAAAGCTTAAACAGTAATTTACACAAAGCTCCAAATTAAACTATTTGAAATATTTATGTTTTTAAGAATTGAACCTATACTATTATATTTAAGAAAACATATCTACGGTTTGAAACATGCATCCACTTCATTTTAATAACCTAAATTATACTTTTCACAGTTATTTTCCAAAAAATGTCTAATTAACATTTATTAGCGAAAGTGACTTGCCATTATTTCTTAAATATATCTAGCGTGCAATTTGTGTTTTATGTTCTTACACATGCATTATTATTTTTACTTTTTATGCAATTATAATTACATAAAAAGTTTCCTTTTTACCCTTGGTTACTCGCTTCTTACAGACCTATACTTATATTATATACTCAAAAAGTGAATCTATATTTCTTCTCTCAAAAGATGCCTGAAAGTGAATCTGTGTTTTTTAATTGAAAGCTAATAGAAACCTATATACCTACATACATCAAACAAAAACTATAGATTTAAACATGCATCCTTTTCATTTTAATAATACTAAATTTTACTTTTCATAGGTAATAGTTGTAATAAATGTCTTTTTTATCCTTTCGAAAAAGACTCATTATCATTCACTTGAGCATAGCGACTTGCCACTTTTTCTTAAACATTTTAAATCCAATCTGTGTTGCTTATACTTGCAAACAATATTATTTCAAGTTGCTTACCCGCTTCATACAGAACTAATTCTGATATTACAAATACATACCTATTTTTAAGCATACAAATCTTGGATACAATCATGCCTTCTCATACCACTTACTTGATAATGACACATTGACAGTTCTCCATCTTGAAGTAGCTTAAAGTAGCTTGATGAAGGTTCCGTGTGCTCTTTGCTCGTTATATATACTACTCCGTATATACATATATATGGTCTTATACTCTTATCCTGCACCAAGACAATAAATACCGAGTATGTGGTATTGGTAATTTCAATAGTCATTTTGAAGATCACTCCAATTTATTACGGAGTATTATTCTCTTTTGTAAAAATTGTGTTGTAGTGGGGATTCTATAAGTCACTTCAATTATTATTCTACAAACTGTACTCCGTATATACTATATAGTTGGGAATTTAAAAAGTTACTTCAAGTATTGCTCTAGCCTATGAAGCACGGATACTTCCCTAGGGTAACGTACCTAACATTCATTTGATTGGACCACATCACTTTATCAATTTTAATTTAAATTTAAATAATTCAACTACTAACTTTTCATTGGTCCATGTGGACAAAGGTATGGTACCTCATGGGTATCATAGAAACTACCTAATAATTATAGTTCTCTTGTATTTTACTTACATACATACATAAACATCGTTCTTAATAAAATTGAGAAGTTTTCCTTGGCACCTACCCCACCGAGCGTGGGGTTTCCCGGGATTAAAAAAACATAAATATGATACTCCCTCCGTATCACATATATCTTCCCACTTCCAAAGTGGGTGAGATTAAGAATAGTGAAATGAGGTATGAATTATTGAGGTTATGATAGGAAGATGGTGAAATAATGTGATGGAATGAAGGATAAATCCAAAAAAAGTAGGTGTAGTAGTGTATTATTTTTTAAATTATTGAGGGTATGATGGGAAGATTTAGAGATGGGAAGATATAAATGTTACGTCCAAAAAAGGAAAGTGGGAAGATATGAATGTTACGGACGGAGTAGATAGTACTCCGTATATCATACAATCTGAGTTTTAATTTGCATGTGTGCAGAATGAAGCTCGCAATGTTTTCCCGCGTATCCTGGGACATGAAGCGTCCGGGTAGGTTCATATTGTTAATTAATTACGCATCTAAGAAATGAGTCACTATTATAGATTCGATTACGTTGCAATAAAGTACTTCCTTCATAAGTTCATAGTGCACCAAAGTTCATAGTTCATTGGATGATGGTATTTTCTTAATATTGCATATCTCCTGTGCAATATGAAACTATTTTAGAAAAACATCTTCAAATTTCTAGTGCAAAATGAATCTGTTTTACTGCAATACTGCAATATCGTCAAATACAAATCTAAGTGCCATACAATTTTGTCATGTTTAGTCCAACAAATCCAAACTAACAAGTGAGGTTCATTATTATGAATTCCTCACGTGAAGCAAAATCTGTGTACTGTGTATTTATACATAGCATAAACTTAATTTCTCACATTTAAAACGAGGTAAGAGTCAATTGAGTACATCAACTTGTATGAAGTGGAGTAAAGAGTACATTATATTGCATTTGATGTTTTTAAGTACACAAATTTGAGTTTTTAGTGTTAATTGAGTACACCCGTTAGGATTGGCTAACAGAATGCTAATAAGTCGATTTCTTGAAGGTCGACACCATCCCCCAGCCACTTGATCGACTCTCCCTTGGTCGACGTCAATCTCCCGCAGGTCGACTTCTCCTTGGTCAATGCACCCCTGCTGGCCGACGCCCCCTGCAGGTCGACCTCCGAAGGTCGATTTTCTCTTTTTGGTCGACTTCGTGAAAGTCGGCACCATAACCTTGGTCCACTACCCATTCTTACTCAACATTTCGTTAGCCAACTCAGTTGTATTAACGTGTGAATCTAACAAGTGTACTCAATTAACACTAAGACCCCAAATTTATGTAGTTCAAAAGATCAAATGCAATATCAATATCAATTAATTTCACTCTTAAAAATAAATTTGGCATTGGTAAAATTTAACTTTTACCTTGATGTAATTGTCAAAGTTTACATTTAAATTGAACAAATGAAGAAATCACTTCATGATAATCATTCTACTACATATGCAGTGTGGTAGAGAGCGTGGGAGAAGGTGTGAGGGACTTGAAAGCCGGAGACAAGGTGGTGGCGGTGTTCAACGACGAATGCGGCAGCTGTAAGTACTGTGAGTCCACCAAAACCAACCTCTGCGAGAAATTCAGGGTGGATCCTGGCCGAAGCGTGATGGTCGGAGACGGGAAATGCAGGTTCTCCACCAAAGACGGCAAACCAATCTACCATTTCCTCAACACCTCCACCTTTTCTCAATACACTGTCATCAATTCTGCTTGCGTTGCCAAGATTGACCCCATCGCTCCCCTCAAAAACATGACTTTGCTCAGCTGCGGTGTCTCTTCAGGTAAATTTCAAACCTTTTTTCCTTGCATATTATTAAAATAGGATATAATATGAATAAAAATGTGACTATAATTACACGAACATACTCTCGTAGTCACATTTATGTCTGCGACTTTTATTCTAGTCATATACCCGTCATTATTTCACTAACTTTTGACATACATTTAGAAATAATAATAGTTACAAGAAGAAATTAAACTTTGAAATGGGAAGGAGAGCTAGAATAAGTTACGTTGGACCCTTATTAGTTTCGATCACCTAAACACATTTTAAAATTATTTCCACTTTTTGGGGTTGTGGATTAGATATTTTAGATGAGACACTATTTATGATATGGCAGTGAACAGTGTAAAGAAAGTATAAGAAGTAGCAAAAACTATGTAAGAGAAATTGAAAATGAAGGAAAACTAAGGGTTATTGGGTATTACAGGGGTGTTTGGAACTAATTCTGCTTCTGCTTCTTTTTTAAAGCATAAGCAGAATCAGAATCAGTTTTCCAGAAGCTGGTCACCCCCAACTTCTAAAAACTGATTTTAGGAGTAAATTAAAGCACTAGAATCACTTCTGCACTTTCACCCAAACACTCCAGCTGCTGCTTCTGCTCTCTGAAGAAGTGGAAGCAGTTTTAAGAATCAGATACAAACACCCCCAAAAATTTAAGACTTCATGTTCCATCCTAAAATGTCAATCGGATAGGAGTACCTTTACTTCTTAATTTACCTGTGTGAGACTTCAATATACCTTCTCACGACCAGATATTTCGTCTGGATCGTAACATTAATAACTTTTTCATTTTTCCGTCATTGTCTTTTTTTCATAATCATGTCATTTTTCATATGGGGACAATACTGCAGTTATGGATAATTTTGACTTTGATACTATGACAATTCAATAGGATAAGAAGTCCATGATCTTAATATATTGAAGTAAAACTTTATTACTTACTGTATTAATTTAACGATGTGAGACTTCAACCCACGTTAATTCCTATTTTGAGATTTTCTGTAATTAATATTGTAACTTTAATTCTTTAAACCCCTTCTGTCCACTTCTTGAAATAGAAAACGGTTTTAATCCGTGTTCATATTATATGAATAAGATAAGACTTGAGAGAATAAAGCCAATAAACAATTCATAATTCCCGTTTCCAAATCTATGAGATAAATTGTAGCATTCAATTCATTCAATTCAATTCCAAACGCGTTTGAAAGTCAGATGGAGAAAGCTTCTGCATAACTGCATAAAGGGACTATAAATGCATTCATAATGGTGACGAAGACAAGTCAAGTAAATATAAAAATGATATCTATCATAAACTATTAATATTGACTCATTCCGAATTTGAACCTCAAATTGAATGTAATCATATACCTGGTATTTGAGAGTCACTCAATTTGGGTAAACAAATCTATATTGAGTAGTACAGTATAAAACAGTGTCAAAATAGTGTACTCTACAATAAAATTTACCCCTTAGTAAAATTATTTCTTTAATCTTTGTAAAGTCAAAGTGCGTCATTGATTTTGAAACGGAGATAGTAATACATTTTCTCAAATAGAACCATTATTGTTTTTCTAAAGAAAAATGGTGCCAAATAGGAGCTAAATAAACTTGATGTACCTAAATAGGAGTTAAATGATTTTTATACTTAAACTAGTATAGTACCCGTGCATACGCACGGGATGAAGCCGTTGATGCATATATTTTTACTCATGATCTAATTAAATATTCAAAAAAAAAACTTTTTAGAATTGTACATTTTGAAAACTAAGGAGTACAATGAGCTAATACCATAAAGTCACTATTACATTTTTAGACCTAACGTAACATTAAAGATGTAACATACCTATAAAAGTGTTACATATTTCTCTAATGTAAGACTTTTTAAACCTAATGTAACACTTTCTATAAGTATAAATGTTACATTAGGGACTATAAAGTGTTACAATATGACAAATGCAACATGAGCAATGTAATGGTAAAAAAGTGTTACCTTTTCTCTAATTTAACACTTTTCGGTGATATTGTAACACTTTTGAGTGATACATTAGGGATTTAAATGTTGTAGTGAGTATAAACTCATACAATAAATATTCGATGAAGAGTATATTAGAGAAAATATACTGACACCACTCATTGGAATTTGCTACTTATTAATTTTCATGATAAAGTTAATTTTAAAATTAATACTACTCTAAAAAAGTGAGTACAAAAAGTCAGTGACAATTCACAATTTTTCATTATCATTCATATGACACTATTATTGCATATACTTCCGCCGTTCCTTAAAACTTTGTCATCTTTTCTTATCGGATTGTCCCCAAAACTTTGTCATTTTCCCTTCTAATCAATTAATATGTAGTTCTTTTTATTTCTCTCTCATCTGCACAATTTTCAATTACACAGCTTTTACTTTATTATTCTCTTTGATGATCAAACTTGACAAAGTTTTAAGAGACAAAGGCAGTATAAAAATAAAAAATAAATTCTATTAATGTATGCAGTTTATGGTCTTTTTTTCCGTGCACACAATTAATCTGGAGCGATAACATAACATATAATAAAACTGCACAAATTCTATCACTTATATTTATTTTTTATTCTTTGCGATGAAATTTTTTCAATTTTATTCTAAGCTATCACTCTAGATTAATAGTGTGCACGAAAAAAATGATCGTAAACTGCACACATGAAAAACTTATAACACTATAAAACATACTCCCTCCGTTTCACAAAAAATGGCATGGTTTGACTTCACGTTTATTAAGAAAATAAATTGACTTTACTGTAGAAAACACTTTTTAGACAGTGTTTGACACTGTTTAGACACTGTTTGTCATTGTTTAGACATTGTTTGATGTAGATTTCTTTTCCAAATAAGGAAATAAGGGAAGTGTGACTTTGTTTTTGAAACATACAAAAAAAGAAAGTGTGACTTTTATTGCGAAACGGAAGGAGTAATTTTTATTAAAGTGCTAAATTATGTTTTTATATTTATATATACAATATTGGTGTCATATGAAAGATAATAAAAAATTATAAAATTTGATATATTTTTTATGACAATCAGATTACAAATAAAAAAGATGTGGCACTTTAATATTGGAGCTAAGTAACCTTAAAGGATATTTTAGGGTGAACTTTATGAACCCAAGTTACATTAGGAGTAGGCCTTAAGGGTTACTCAAAGGGATGGAGCCTAGACTAAGAAATTGTTTAGGATTAGATGACGTGACTACGAGCCGAGCTCTAGCACGTGGTAGTATGACTATGAGCCGAGCTCTAGCAAATGTAGTGTGACTATGAGCCGAGCTCTAGCAAAATGTAGTATGACTATGAGCCGAGCTCTAGCAAAATGTAGTATGACTATGAGCCGAGCTCTAGCAAAACGTAGTGTGACTATGAGCCGAGCTCTAGCACGAATTAGCATGACTATGAGCCGAGCTCTAGCATGAAGGAACGTGAGTTGATTATAAAAATAATAACATCCTAGATTGAGGGTCTTGGAAATTGAAACTTTGATTATACTTAGTATAGTTGTCATTGTACTTGTCAAATGCTTCAAAGTACTGACCTCCCCCTCACGGGGGAGGCCACCTCACAGTTTCAGGTAGAACTTGAAGGTTGCTACCATCGTCGTTGCTTCGGGAGGATCCAAAAAGGAGGAGACGTGGTTCGTGTTTCCCCCATTTCCATTTTTTTAAACTATTTAATTAATGCTCATGGATATTACTTTTAAATATTTATTTGGGGGGCTTGTATGCCCATGTTTGCCAAGGTGTGGCATGAACACTTGTATTGAATGTTTCCGCTGCTTTAAATGAATATTTTACATTATGCTTGTTTATGGATGTACTATGTGTGAATGATATTCCAGACGCCTTGTATAGTATGGATGTGTTGGACTGCGGTTGACTATTCATACTGTACGGCGGGTTGTTGACGTGTCCGGTTAGGTCCGGGGCGTGACAAGGAGTGTTTGGGATTGCTTAAAAAAACACTTTTCAGCTTTTGGTTTAAAAAAAGTTGAAAAGAGTGTTTTCAAATGACAGCTTCTGCTTAAATTAATCACTTAAAAACTAAAAGCTGGAAGCAGGTAGAAGGGTGCTTTAAACTGCTTCGTATTCTCACTTTTTCTATTACACAAAAAGTACTTATTTTACCAAACACTACCAACTTTTACTTTTTCAGAATCACTTTTTTCTCAAACACTACCAACTTTTACTATTAATCACTTTTTCCCAAAATCACTTTAAAAAAATCACTTTTTTAAAGTTGAAGCAATCGCAAACACTCCCTAAGTGTATTACACACTAGTCAAGTTCTGATGAAATCTGGTGGGACCGCAGGTCCTAATTAAAGGGGCATCTATCCCGGCGGTGTGTGGAACCCAGGGACACACAATTATCATATGTAATGTAGATTACGTCTCATACTTAGGGAGTGTTTGCAATTGCTTCAACTTTAAAAAAGTGATTTTTTAAAGTGATTTTGGGAAAAGTGATTAATAGTAAAAGTTGGTAGTGTTTGAGAAAAAAATGATTCTGAAAAAGTAATAAAAGTCGGTAAAGTTTGGTAAAATAAGTACTTTTTGTGTAATAGAAAAAGTGGAAAACAGTTTAAAGCACCCTTCCACCTGCCTCCAGCTTTTAGCTTTTAAATGATCAATTTAAGCAGAAGCTGTCATTTGAAAACACTCTTTTTAGCTTTTTTTAAGCCAAAAGCTGAAAAACGCTTTTTTAAGCAACCGCAAACACTGCTTTAATTTTATTAAAGGAGCGTATATGACAATTAAATAAATACTTATCCGATACTTGTATCAACGTATTACGTTCCCGGGCCGTATCTGCAATTTTTAAAAGTTTCCTTTTTTTTTTGTAATTTTTTGAAAGTTTCCGATACTCGTATCCTGACGGATACCCGTATCAACTTTTTTTAAAAAACAAATCCCAAAATTTACTTAATAAAATTCTAAAAAAAATGAAAATCTAAAACTACATTTTACTTGGTAATCAAATAATGGGCCTATATGGCAACATCTGAATTAAGTTATTAACTCATACTCCGAATTGGGTACTTGCACTTTTAATTTCAAGATTGTAGTTGTTAGACTTATTTCTCATTTTAAATTAATGACTTATTGAGTACATTTATATTTCGAGATACACTAGTGTATATGAGAAATATTCTGAATTTATTACTAAGTATCTTGAAAAAGGAAAATGCTTCAATGCAATGAATGAGTAGACATCATAGGATATTAGATGTGTGTGTATATATATATATATATATATATATATATATATATATATATATATATATATATATATATATATATAGGAAATCTTTCCGGTAAGGTATACCTTACCGGAGCCTCCGTGCGGTCTCCGCGTTTTGAGGGCCTTCCCGGTTCAATTTCTTGATGAAATTTTTTGAGCATGTTCGTCATCAAGTCTAGTACATCCATACCAAATTTCAGCAAAAAATTCAATCGGGAAGGCAGTCAAACGATTTTTGGAAGATAACTGCGTTTTATATGTATATAAAGGGTGCAGTTATCTTCAAAAAATCATTTGAATGCCTTCCCGATTGAATTTTTTGCTGAAATTTGGTATGGATGTACTAGACGTGATGAAGAACATGCTCAAAAAAATTCATCGAAAAATTCCACCGGGAAGGCCCTCAAAACGTGGAGGCCGCACGGAGGCTCCGGTAAGGTATACCTTACCGGAAGAGTTATATATATATATATATACACACACACATATATATACATATATGTATATATTTTCAAAAAAATCTATTTTTGACATTTATAAATAGACCCCTGTAACTTTTAATATTTGTAAATACACCCCCATAACTTTTAATATTTATAAATATGGCCCCGTATCCGTATCCTATTTTTTTTGGTTTTGACGTATCCCCGTACCCGTTTCCGCGTTTCCGCGTTTCCGCGTACCGGTATCGGTGCTACATAGGCTCTAGCATTTATTATTGCTCTACTCAATAAAGCTTTTTTAGTATTCTGTGCGGTTGTCTTCTAATACCTTTTAGGAGTGCTAACGTAGAATTGCTTTAAAGATGGTGCACTATCCCGCCCAAAATCCCGCCAAAACTCCCTCACACTTTTCTGTTTTACTATATAATATAGATATAGATATAGATATAGATATGCCATAGACAAATGGCGAGTGTGATGCCCTGGTGACATTTAGAGTAGATTAATATACATCTAGAAACAAACATTTCTCCTCATTTTGTGGTATATATATAGCCCCTCTAGAGAGAACATGACTTTTTGAATTGATTTAATTACCACCCTACATTTTAGATTAGACTATGTGTGCTGTATGCAATAATTCTTTAAATATGTGTGAAATGTGAGTACCAAAGATATTAAATATGTGTTTAAAGTGCAATTAATTATAATGATACAATGAAAAATATATGATTATGATAATGATAAATCAATGAAAATATGACATTTTATACGAATTGACGATAGTCCATATATCATAATAATATTTAGGTATGAATATGTTGAATGACACATTTTATACGAATTGACCATATATGGTAGTAATATTTAGGTATGAGTATGTTGAGTTCTGTACCAAGATGATGTACTCATGGTAACTCTTGTCCCAAATTGAATTTCAATTTGCAGTTTTTATGGTTGACTGACAATAAAAATAAATCACCTTTGCAGATATAGTTAAATCAATTTTCATGATAAAAATCTACATATTTAGAAACTACATTGAAATTGGAAATTCTATAAAAATGTTGAAATTGTGTTGACCACGAAAAGTTGACTTTGCAAATCATTTTAGGACGGAGGGAATAATAAGTAGTATAACAAAAAGTCCTTACATAATTCATTTCACTCATTCATTCCGTGTAGAGAAAGTTGCATATACATTATTTAGATCTCTTACACCCTATTTTAAACCCTACATGCCCTCAAAAGTTGTAGTGTCAACTACATATGTTCTAGACAAAATGATATTGCAATGCACCAGTGAAATTTAGAGTTGATTAATAGACATCTAGAAACTTTAAAAAAATAGACATCTAGAAAAGTACAATTCTCCTCATTTTGTGGTGCATATATTATTCTAGAGAAAAAATGACTTGTGGTGATTTACCAACCTACATTTTAGATTAGACTATATATCCATCATGTATGCAATATTTCTTTAAAGATGAGAAAGGTAAGCACCAAACATATTAAATGATTTAAAAAAAAATTAGGAACTAACTGTGTATTTGTGTTGTTAATCAAAGTGAAATTAATTATAGTGAAATAATGACAAATATATGATCATGAAAAAGATAATCCATAAAATTTGTGACTTTTTTATATGAAGCGAGCATAGTAGTAATTGTTAGGGATAAATAATTATGTTGAATTATGTACGATGACGACGTACTCACTCTTGCCACATTTTTCATCCATAAATTGTTTATAAGCATTTCCATTGTCGTGAACTGATTTGCAATTTAAGTTATTCATGGTTGACTAACAATAAAGTTAAATTATCGCTGTAGATAGTGAAATCAATTCTAATGATAAGAATTCACATATTTATAAACTAAGTTATATAGAAAATAAAAGTTCTATAAAAAAAGTTAAAATCGTGTTGAGTATGAAAATTTAACTTAACTCCGCAAATCATTTTAGAATGGGGGAATAATATAATAAAAAATCCTTACATATTTTATTCATTCATTCAAATTCATGCAGAGAATAGTTTTGTATGCATTATTTAGATCTTTTGAGGCCTATTTTAAACCCTACATGCTGTCAAAATATTGAGTGCCAAATGAATTAGGAATGAAATGGTGTGGTGATTCTTTTGAGTTTTAAGGGCATAGAACTACAAGATTTAATTAAAAACAGATCTAAAGTTGCTGTAAAAATGGAGTGCATGTCAATTTCAATTTAATTGAAAACGATGTTAACCTCGACATGACCATATCCTTAATTGTTTACATGTTTTTTTCAAAACAAATAACTAAATTATTCATTAAATGATATCAAATGAACATGTGAATGAATAGCCTAAGGCTACAATGAAACGAGACATAGAACGGAATGAATAACCGATCTTTGTTCACTTGGTCCCTGAGAAAATGAAAAGTGAGTGTCTATGTGTTTACTTCTAGCATGTGCCACTGGATTCCTTGCCAGGCTTTTGCTGAATTGTTATCTATCTTCAGAACTGGTATACTCTTGACATCAATCTATATTTCCTTTAACAAGGACTCTAGCCAGAGAGCTTGAAAAGTTGCATATGCTCCTGCTATATACTCCGCTTCACATGATGATAAAGCTACTGCAGGTTGCTTCTTTGAACACCATGTGACTGGTGCATTTCCAAGCATTAAAATATAACCGGAAGTACTCTTCCTATTTGTTAGATCACCTGCCCATTCAGAATCTGAAATGGGTGTATTTGGGCTTGGATCCAATATCACAACATTACCAAAATTATTTTCAAATATACTTATTATTTTAAAATCTTTTTTGAACTATAATTTCTATAATAATTATTCAAAGAAGTTACTCCAGTAATTTTTTTATGTTATAGTTGAAATTAGTTTTTTATTAATTAATAATCATTGTTCACAAATATTTACTCAAAAGATCTTTATTTTTGTAGAATAAGTGCTTTTGCTAGATACCATTTAATGCTTATCAAATTTTAATATAACAACGATTCAATAATACTTTTAATTAAACTTATCAAGTATTTTTAATTAAAACAACGTACACATGACAATAGAAGAGTACGTTTTGGAATACATAAGAGTGGAGTTTTGGAAATCGGAAGTACTCTTCC